TTTCAGTGAGGGTTCGTCTCTTTCGTCCACTAATTTATAGAGAAGTTTAGAGAATTTTAATGTATATTTTCCTTACGTTATACATAAAAAGCATTTGTTTGTCACAAACTTTATTACAACTGGTTTTCAATCTCTTCTCTCCCATAAGATAATTGGTATAAGAAGTGAGAAATATTTATACCAAATACCGGTATAGGAGCGACCTGTGCCTGACTTTATTATTAGCGTATAATATAATACTTTTGTTTATATTAATATTTATTAACTATTCACGTATTTATACACCGATTCGTGCATTAAATAGAATAATATGAATGCAATTATCTATTTTGATTTTCAAATTTTCATTAACTGTTTAGTATACATGTATTAAACAATTTTATGATTTTCATATCTTTGTTATGACTTTCCATTAACTGTAAATAATGAAGTCATTTGATATTTATTTCATGGCTATTTCTCAATTTGTGTTTTACATTTTGAATTTATATTTTACATAAGTGAATACTAAACCCATTCATGTAACTAACAGTTTAATAATTAATATAACATGTTTTATGAATTTCATGATTTGTATGTAATTCATGTAACTTATATGAATTAAAATTTAAAATATATTTACTTATTCTACTGAATATACGGTTAAAGCAAAAATACAATTTATCAAAACGTCAATAAAATTATAATTTGGGATTAATTTAAGAAATTAATATGATTTNAACGTCAATAAAATTATAATTTGGGATTAATTTAAGAAATTAATATGATTTACAAGAATAAACACTTAAACAAGAGTTTAAGAGCATCATAAAAATTGAATGAACTCTTAGAGGATAATCAAATATGTTATTAAATTGGGTAATAATAATAATAACACTTAAGTTTATGTATTTAGATATTATCTAAATAGTTTTGTTTTTCAAGATTAACATCAAATTTAAGACCAGACAATAAAAGGAGATTTTTTCATATAAAAGAATAGATGTCTTAAACTTCTTTAATTGACGATTAAATGTATAATGATTTACATTTTTACTCAATTCATGGGTTTATATCATTTCATCACGTTTTATATTATTATCGATTTAGGCTTCGGTCAGTCGGACATACATTTGATAAGAATTTGAATAAATTTGTTTGAGTTCACAACAAAAGATTGTTTCAATAGCTAAATAAGATAACCATGTTTTACTCATATGGCTTATAAACTGTTTTCTTAAGATTTAATTCATCTCACTTAACATAATGTTGATTAAAAAGTTCACAAAGTTGCCGAGTATTAAATTTATAATTACACCTTAATTAAAGTGAATTCAATTAAACAAAAATATATTTTTAATTTTTATTGTAAAAGTAAAATTAGTAAAAATTTAAGACCATATGATTGAAGTCAAGTTTAGGAAATTATATTTCATATTGAGTGCCAAGTCTTGAACTGATTTCAATCAAATCGCTTGTCAATACACTTAGCAATTATATTTAGAAAACATTTCAAACTACTTATTTTAAATAATAAATTCATGTCAAGAGTGATCACAACAAGAATTGTTTTGTAAATAAAGTTACTTTAGATATGTTCGTCAACACAGTTATGGTTATCAGGATCATCATATTTTTAGTTCAATTTATTAATAAATCAAATGTTAGACGTTTATATTCCAACGATATTAGATTTACTAATTATAATAATCTGAATAACAATATCATTTTTATTATTACTTATTATTATATTAGTTTTTGTTTTCTATAAACTCACAAAAATGTACAAACTTTTATTTAGTTATGAATACAAGTAAATTATATTACAATTTGCACAATAATTGAGAAAGAATTAATTACTTATTTCACACAATATCTAGATTTTAATGGTTTTTAGCAAAAACGTGAGAGACGACCATGAAATCGATTGATTACAAAATGATATTTCATATGATATGACAATTGTACTAAACTGAGCCCCAAATACTTGTTACACCCTTTTATAAATTAAGATCAAAGACGTGTTAAATATATATAATACCTGTTTTATAGATAGAAAAATATGAAAACCAATTGCACAGAGAATTCAATTTGAATAAATGAAACCAAACGTATGAATAAATAAAATTTGAACAAAAAAATAATGAAATTTTTCTCCGAAAATTATATCTTTTACAAAGAATGCACTTTTAAATTATGCAATACTTTACATCATTTGTTAAGAATATTTATTTAAATAATAATTTTTAACAGAAACTTATGGTTTGTGTGATTTAAAAGGAAAGTTTAACAAAATTATCAAAAGGATTATATGGAAAGTATCGTCACCTACACAGCCATTGAAATGCAGGTATAAATAAATTGTTAAATCGAGTACAATATACAGTGTACCGTATATTAAGCCAAATAAGGTTTGCCAAATACCAGGTATAATAGTATTAGAATTTACAATAAATGAATATAAATGACAATAACAGTAACCAACTATAAGGCATACATTAGTGCACCTGAATTGAGCACTTCAGGTCTGATACAACGCTATATGAAAACAGAGGTAAGGGATGTATTTAATGGTTGTGTGGTATGGTATATGGTATTAGAAGAACCAGACTCTGCAAAAGTGGGACAACAATCAAAAGTCATAGCGTATAGCCGTATAGTTGTATAGACTATAAAAACATATATAAGTCAAAGCGTGAATGAATTGAAAAGTAAGTTTGTATTGACTTTGATTGCGATACAGTAGTGGAGTGACAGATACAGTGGAAGGACTTGTGGCGAACCACTTCTCACATGTATGGGCGCTGTCTGTGTTTGGTTTGGCAGCAAACTGTGGCTCTGGTGTGTGCCTCGGCTTTGGACTCACAATTTCACTGTCACTTTACGCCAATCAATGAGTTGTTTGAGTGGAAATAAATCCAAGTGAGAGCTATTTAATGGGAAGATAACCTACATTTTCACTGTCACTGAACCTTTTGCTCCAAACACTGGTCTCTAATCTCTGCCAAAAAGTTCAATCCATCGGTTCGTTATGTGTATTAATACCGAACCCACACTTATGTTCACTACTTATTCGTAACGCTATTCCCAATTCAAAAACGACTCGATTTTTCTCAAATTCCTTATATGACTGACTAAATGAATATTACATTCATTTCCACTTATTATACCCGTTGTGTCGTATTATTGCTGTTATTTATATGCAGTTGTGAATCGGCTCGCAATCCAACCAATTATACGAAGTAAGTGTTGATCGCGTTTACGGTTACGCTTTGTTTGGCAACTATTTTCGGTTTCCAAAACTTTTTCCTTTTTTAATCTCTAATCAAATGTTTAAATAGAGTTTGCAATAAAACAGTTATGTTTTGATGTTAGCTTAAACTTTTTGACATCAATTATTTAAAGTTTTTAAAATTTATTTTTGGAATTGAATTAAACTACTTACTATTATTTATAGTAAACATTAAAATTGTAATATTTTAAGAATTCAATCAAAATACTAGCGATAAATATAAATATAATGGTAATTTGTTGTGCAATATTTTATTCATTACTCTAAAACTATATTTATTGTTTTGTAGTATTTTAATCGTAAAATATTTTATAGTTTTGATCTGAATTTATATTTAAAATCTTTTTGAAATAATAAGACAATAAAATAAACTTAAATGTAAATAATTACATATATTTGAGTTTATAAAACATTTTAGTGCCAATTGACTTAAATTTTACTGTATTTAAAAATAAAATACAATTGAAATTTGTTGAAAAACTTTTTTTTATTTCCGACAGACAATGAATTGGCACTAATTATCCCGCAATGTATGAGCACTAGATTTGCTAACATTGTAGTGCATATAATTAATTAACGAGTCTAATGAGATAGTGTTTTGCATCGATTTTAATCGCTTATTAGTTTTAAAACATTCATTAAACTTTCTTAAGGAAAGTTTTTAACAAATTTATTTTTTTCTTCACCGCCTGTTAAGCCATGCAATCGTAAAGATACGTCACGAAGACTTAAACCTCTTGAATAGGGATCTAAATAATGAGATCACTTCACCTGAGGATGAGGTGAGAATTGTAACGATTTTATTATATTTGCCACTATTTGTACGCATTTTCACATTATTATACACTTCTCTAATGACAACACATAAACCCTTTAACTTTTACAAAAACTTTTTAATCAATTAATCGACGCTTTAATCGCATGAAAGCATGAGGTCTTATGGGTCGACACATCCGATAAGAACGCGTCGTTCGCTTTCGTGAGGCTAACCGACGCTCACGTCCGCAAAATCCGGAGCACCCGATGGTTTGAGGGGTCGTCGGTTGTCACCCATAACCTGCAGTCATGGCTGGACTCGAGTGAACTGCAGAGCGACGCGAGTACCATCCGTGGTGTCAGGAGTCGCCAATCAGTTGTTGTGCCATCGTTTGCGTTGGACAGGTATCACCCTCTCAGTCAAGTGAATAGGTATCTGACGTCAATCAGTAGCTTAAGCTCTGTCAGTGTGTTTGACATCGGGATCAGTCACGAGGGCAGAGGCATAAAAGCGGTGCAAATTAGAAACAACCCGACGAGTAGTGACTATATATGGATCGATGGGTGCACTCACGCGAGGGAATGGATAACAGTGGCGACCGCTCTGTTCATAATCGACACGATTATCAGCGAAAACGTCAAACAAAACTTCCTAATCGTTCCCATCATTAATGTGGACGGATATGAGTACACGTGGAATACGGACAGACTTTGGCGCAAAAACCGTCGGCCCTATACTGCCAGCACTTTCGCTGTGAGCGAAATGCCCGACCGCTGTAATGGTGTTGACCTCAATCGCAATTATGATGTTAATTTCGGAGGTGAGGGGGGCAGTGCTAATCCCTGTTCATTCCTATACGAGGGACCGACACCTTTCTCAGAGCCAGAAGTGAAAGCTGTTAGTGAACTACTTTGGAAATTCAAAAACCGGATCAAACTGTCCATTTCGTTGCACTCATTCAACCAACTCTGGGCCTGTCCTTACGCTTACACTAAAAGCTCATCAATACATTACAGTCACCACATGGATGTGCTCAGGGATATACAGAATGCCGTCTATAAGACAAATGGTGTGAAGTATCAAATCGGACCGTTAGGCCAATCCCTGTACGTGGGCTCAGGCTTTATGATGGACTGGATATACACGAAGTTAGGCGTAACCAACAGCTATTTATGCGAATTGAGGGACAAAGGGGTTTATGGGTTCCTATTACCGGCCGATCAGATAATGCCCACCGCTCTCGAGACATGGAATGGCATATCAGCTGCCATTAGGAAACTCTTTTAAATTATTAATCATTTTTTAAACATTTTTTATTTAAAAGTTTGTGATTAACTTTAGGACAATTAAGACAATTTTATTAAATTCAATTGTGTACATTATAATTAAAAACATAATAATTTGAGTGAAAATTATTTAATTTAAGTCGTTCATTATAGATAATGATAAGTATGAGTTTAATAAATAGTTTATGAACTCATTTTCAATTGAATAATGTTTACAATAGACAACTACTACTGTACTGGTATAATTATGTTTTGATCTGTATGTCTATTCCTAATATCTATTTTAAGAGTAAGACAAACAAAAATCAACATATTTATCAAAATACAAATATTCCAAACAACAAATATTAGTATAATTTATGATGCCAAATAATTTAATCCATGTTACATTTTAAAAGTAAATTTATTTAGATATTAATATTTTGTTATGACTAGCATTTAGTATTTACATTAAAAATGATATGATACATTTAGTGTACACTGTAGTATAACAATTTATATTAAGTAATTATGTGATTAAAACTATTATAATATTTAGAAATTGATTCTTAATCAATGAATTTATCACACAATTCTTTAATAGAAACATAATATGTTTTATATTTTATTTTTTAATAATTGCAAAATATATTTATTCATATCAAATAGGTTTAAGAAATTTTTGAAAAAATAAAATTAAAGAAATATTTATTTGTTTAATAAAGCTAATGTTCTGGTATTTGCTAATCAGGACACTTTAAATTATTCATATTAATTTACTGTAAATTCAAGTGAAAACTGAAAATTTATATTATTTTTTAAGGAAAATGTACAAAATAAAAAATACTAAAAACTAAAATTTAAGGTTATTATGCAGTATTTTGTAAAAATAAGAGATCTCATACAGATTTACTGTATATGGTATATATAATATTGATTGATATGTTTTAAATTTTATCACAAAACATCAAAAATATAAAATTTAATTTTGAATAATTTGTCAGTCAATGTATCAAATGGGAGTATTGGTGACGGCAGACAACAAAAAGTAAATATTAATAAGTAAAAGTCAAATCAATAGTAATAAAACACGGAAATGAATGAAAAATAAAATTATAGAGCACTTATGAATTGAATAAGTTATTAATTTAACATAAAGATAATTTTGGTTCATTAATTGGTTCACAAACCAACCGGTATTGTACACAAAAGGCATAGTCTTTAATAGTTTTATAGTTGGTGTATATTTTGATTATAATTAGTAACACTTTCTCTATCAAGATATTTAATATTGAGTTTATTGAATCAATTATTTACTATTAAACAGATGATAGATTAGATTTTGTTTTAATTAATGATTCATTATTAATGAACTAATAACTTCATCAAAATTATTTGTAAAATTAAATGCTAATTTATTTTAATATTATTTTGTTATAAATATTTTTCAATTAAAAATGTTTAAATTTTGTTATAAAATTAAAATAATATTAATAAACAAAGTCATGAATGTGAATACAGTATAATGTTTTATTCATACTTTTGGGCCAGTTTTGGGTTTGCTTTTAACTTTTGGGTTTGATTGTGGCTTTTCACTGGTGAATTTACTTACGATGAATTCAATTAGAAAATAGATTATAGAAATCATTACTGGAAATAGCGCTAAGAAAAGCAGTGTATAAGTCAACCAATTGTGATCATTATTTTCTTTACTATCTATTGTATATAAATTAATTAATGATAACTGATCTCATGTGTTGATTAAGTTATTGAAATATATAGGAATACAATACCGGGTGAATTGGGTTTGTTTGTCGGTGTAACTACAGGTGTGGCTATATTTGTTAAAGTC